GTCTCACTTCACATGAAAGAATGCAAATGTGTCTCTGGGTAGGATCGCAGCATCTTTTCTGCCTGGAACATGGATGAGTTCTATGTCTACACTACTACTTCAGCTCTTTCTTGATTATGCTTGCATAATCATAACAAAGGCTTTGTGTGTATGTGTTATGTGTGTACATGTGCACACCTGCAAATATGTGTCCTCTTAGCTTGCCTTCTCTCTGTTATTAGAATTGTGGAGCCTCATTAGAGTTTTCAAACATTTTATTGCTTAATTTTAAAGATTTATTTTATGTGTTATGTTTTGCCTGCGTGTATGTATGTGCACTGTGTGACTGTCTGGTACCCATGGAGGTCAGAAGAGGGTTCCTGGATTCTCAAAAACTGTACTTATGGAAAGTTCTGAGCCACCATGTGGGCACTGGGAATTGAACTCCAGGTCCTCTACAAGAGCAGTAAGTGCTGTTAACCACTGAGCCAACTATCCAACTCCAAGTTTTCAAGCATTTTCAATGCCTTCTGTGCCTGCTGGAGACTACTCAGCCCTTTGGTTCTGTGGAATTCCCTAGGCCCTGCACCCTGTAAACACCATATTGAATGTGGTAAAACCTTGAAATGAGTTTCTTTCTTTCTCTTTGTTCTTTGAGTGAGGCAAGGATACAACACCCTTAGCAGTACATGGCACTTCTAAAGAATAGGTCAGAACTTGTGTGTATGTTTTCTCTGAAGCTTACAGAGGTTCGGAGGCTCAGATACGGCAGCGCATGCAGGACTCAAGCGCAGTACAGCTGCAGGTCTCTGTACTGTTCTTTCTGCTGTCTTGTGGTTTCCAAAACAAAAAGAAAAGGCTAAGAGGACAGGGACATTAAGGTGGGAGTTCACATGGAGGCGAGAGGGCAATCTAGAGGGTCCGTCCTCAACTTGCTTACTCAAGCCGGGTCTTCTGCCACTCACTGCTGCATCCGCCCCAGCCACCTGCTGTGTGAGCTGCTGGGGATTCTCCGTCAGTGCCTCCCATCTTGCCAGGTGTGCACCGGGATGCACACAACTGTACCTGACTCTCCATGGGTTCTGGGAATCTGAACTCTGGTCCTTATGCTTGTACAGCAAATACTATACCTACTAAGCTGTCTCCTCCGCTCAAAAGTCCAGGTTTTTACTTGATGAAGCTTCTTTTATTCTCAGTTTAATGAATGACATATGTAAGCTTTCCTTTACAGTAAGGAGGCTCATAGTTCTCATCTGCCCATACACTCTCATTTTCACACACATACTCATATACATGTATACATGCATACATGTATTCTTCCTACCCCGAGTTGCCTAACAATTTTTTTAAAAGATTTATTTATTTATTTATTTATTTATTTCAAGCGTATGGGTATTTTGCCTGCATGCACAGATATGTGCGCCACATGCATGCATGATGCAAATGATCTTCTGCAACTGTAGACAGGTGTAAGCTGCTATGTGGTGCAAGGAATTGAACCCAGGCCCTCTAGAGGTGCATCTAGTCTTCTTAAGCACTGAGCCATCTCTCCAGCCCCAGCATTGATTTAATATAATGTGGGTCAAATTTAGGGACTGTGAGTCAAGCATAGTAGCATATGCCTTTAATCTCAGTCTTTTAGAGGCAGAGGTAGGCAGGTGAATTAGAGGCCAGTTTCATCTATATAGTGAGTTTCAGGACAGCCAGGGCTCTGTCGAGAGACCCTGTCTTAGAGCAAAACAACATCAGAGGGGCTGTGTTTTAAGAAGCCACTTGCAAAATGGATGATGGGTCTCCATCACCCACTGCCATGTCCCAGCCATATGGTCTCCTGTTTCTTATATCGAAGGGTCACAAGTATTCTTTAATTGTTGACAAATAGCTCTATGAACAACTGTTGAGTCATATGAACCCCTCCTCAGTTTGCCAGTCATGGAGTTTGTGAGATGTGACAGCTAGCTGCCTTGAGTTAGTTTTAAATCTCTAGTTTAAATAAACAAAGACTCCAATAGCAGGCGTGGGATGCCTCGTGTTTGTGCTAGCTTCTCGTACACACGAGTGGAGCTCCCCTGCCTCAATGCTTATGGCTTTGTAGGTGAGAGGTTTGGCTGAGCAGGTAAGCCGGGCACCTGAGTATAACTGTCCTGAGGACGAAGTGCCCAAACCAGGGCACATTTGAGGTTTAGAGGAGCTGAATGTTGGACTCTCAGATTCCACACCTTAAAACATTCCTGAGAATTCTGCTACTTCCTGGGGTTTCACTGTAGAGGGAGCGAGGGAGGCGGTGCTGTCCCGTGAGTGCACGGTGAGTGCAGGGGCAGCAGCAGCATTTTGAACCTTATTTTGACCTTGGTCTCCATCTTGACAAAGATATTAGCATCTAGCTACTGAAATCCTGTCTTCCAGATATTAATAATTAAGGGATGTGTTGCCCTTTTTATCAGTTTGATATGCTTTGTTGGAAAATTGGATCTGTTATTATTTGCCTGTGGAGAACTGTAGCTGTCCCCAATGGAAGGTTCTTGGGAACAATCTGACTATACATGTCTTCGTGTTATTACTTTTTGTGTTGTTTGTTTATTTGTTTTGCATGGGCATGCAGGAAGGCTATTGAGGTAACAGGCGTGCGGCGCGGGTGTGTGTGTGTGTGTGTGTGTGTGTGTGTGTGTGTGTGTGTGAGAGAGAGAGAGAGAGAGAGAGAGAGAGAGAGAGAGAGATAATGGGGGGTCCCTTTGTATGTGCATACAGAATCAAAAGATCAGCATTGAGTGTCTTCCTCAATAGCTTTGCTACACTATTTCCTCAATATCCATATTGAGACAGGGTCTCTCACTGGGACCAGGAACTTGCTGTTTCAACCAGACTGACTGGCAAGTGAAGCCCTGAGATCCTCATTTCTTCCCTTCCTCAGCACTGAGATTACTGGCTTGTGTAGCTATGCCCAGCTTTTTACATGGGTGCTGAGCTTACATGGAAAGCATGTTGTCCACTGACCCATGTTCCTGGACCCTTGTTTGCTTTGTAAGACAGGGTGTTGCTTTGTGGCCCAGGTTGGACGTGAACCTTTGGAACCTCCTCTGCTTTCTGTTTCCACCTATCCTTGTGGGAAGCAAGAACAATGCTTCAGTGTTTCTTTAAAGTTTTAGACATTTATTTCTCTCATCTGTGCACATGTGTGTACACATGTGTACAGTGTACATATGTGGAAGTCGGAGGACAACCTGTGAGAGTCAGTTTTCTCCATGTGCGTCCTAGGGATGTAACCTAGGTCATTGGGATTGGCAGCAGCAAGCACTTTTACTCACTGAGCCATCTCACTAATGCCGCCATTTTACTAAAACCGAATCCTCTCATTCTAGTTACAACAACCACACATAACGTGTCACATTGCTTGACTTGAATCTGGAAGAGAGCGTAGGGAACCAGGTTTGAGATGTTTGGGTAACATCAGATCCCCTGCTAGAGCTAGCTCCTAGGACTCATCACTTAGGATCCCAAGAGCAAACCTCATTGGCTTGGCGCTGACGGCCACATCGGGCTTCTCAGGGATGGCAAGTGCATGCTGCCGCTCCCTAACTGTGCTTACTAACCTTGTCTGTACGTGTTTCTCACCCAGCCTGGCCAAACTGAAGCCGGAGAAGAGATGAACAGCATGCCAGATTCAGACTGTCTTGAGCAGCACAAATTGTTCTTTAAAAGCTTGGTGGCCGGGCTGCGGCTCAGTCTAGAGGGCCTGCCCTGATTGCACAAAGCCCTAGCCTCAACCCCCAGCACCTTAAAACCTGGGTGTGGTGGTACGTGCCTGTCCTCCCAGCACCTGGGACGAGGAGGCAGGAGGATCAGAAGTTCAAGGTCGTCCTCCACTTCATAGTGAGTTCGAGGCCAGCCTGGGATACACGAAACGTGTCTCAAAAAGTTTTTTTTTTTTTTAAAATCCAAATAATAAATTTACTTTCAATGAATTCTTAGTGGCTGTTGATGAGTTTTGTTTATGCCATCAATTTGAATGATTTAGTGATTTCTATTATAGTTAATTTGGAACTTTGGAACTTTGATGATGATTTCATGGTTGGGGGTTTAAGTTGCTGTTTCAGAAGACAGGGATGTGGGTTTTTTTTTTTTCCACCTCTCAGGTTATTTTGTTTTGTTTTTAAATATCCACTTTTTTCAGTGGATGCAGATAGTCCTGTGTCTTTAGACATCAGGAGTGGGTACCAGTTGGATGGTAGATCACTGGCTCAGAGATGACTGGTCTGCCACATAGCGTGGCAACAAGGGGGACCCTGGACTGTGTTGGGGGTGTGAATGGCAATCACCTCCCCACTGGGGATGAAAGAAAAGTGCGAAGATCAGTAACGAAATGATTGGGACTGAAGGGACCTCTTGCCATGGGTCAGACCCTTAGTTTGTTAGAGGCTCCAGAGAAACAAAGCAGTTGATGAAAGGGTTTTTAGGATGGCAATATTGGCAGCTTCCCTCAGTACTTTGAAGGAGACCCACTTGTCCACACATGGGGTTGTAAAGGGCATATTGAGTAAGGATTGCTTCTAGGAAGAGCCACCTGGCCTCACCATCTGCCCCTGTTCTGGAACCCAGCTGTCTCTTGTTTAGGGTGAGCTTGGCTGCCTTGTAAGAAGCTTTGAGTCTCCGTCCACCCTAGAACTCTCAGATACAGACTCTAGCGTCTGTCTCCTGAGGATGTGAGAACTCTATGTCCCCATCAGACGTGAACATGAAGACGGAAGCCCTTCAGTAAAGGCTGGCCTGGAGTCAGTTTGGGTGGGTGAGGCCTAGAAGCCGCTCTGCTTCCATGGACATGTATAGCTTCCAACTCGCCCAAGAAGACCCTCACCTGGACCTTAAAGAGCAGCTAGTGCAGGAATTTCACCTTTGAAAAACCAGCAAGGCCCGTGGACGTTTAGAGCACAGGCCCAATCGCCACATGGATTAAAGGCGCCAGGTTCACCTTGGTGCATTCCTCTAAAGATTTAAGGACTTCAGTTAAAACATGTTCCCACAGGGCTGGGCTAGCTCAGTTGGTAGAGTGCCTGCCTAGCATGCACGAAGCCCTGGGTTCAATCCCCAGCACCTTATAAACCCAGCATGGTGGTACACACCTGTAATTTCAGAACTCTGGAGTTAGTGGGAGGAAGGGTAGACGTTTAAGGTTAGCCTTTCCTACGTAGTGATCTCAAAACCAGCCTGGGATACATGAACCCCTGTCTCAAAAAGATAAAAAAAAAATAGAACAGAAAATAGATTCACAAAACCATCCCTGTAAACAAAATACGGAGTGGCGCATTGAAATGGAAAGAACTAGAACATAGACGTTTTTCATTGTATTTTTGTTTGTTTTTATTGCCTCCACAACAGCGAATAACCTTGTTTTATAATTGTTAAAACTGGGGAGGTTTTCTTGAGCTAAGTTCTGAATCTGTAAATCCCAAGGACTTAGAATGTGCTGCTTTTAATTCTAATCAGAACAGGGTTTCCCATTTCTTATCCCCGGAAAGTGTTAGATTGGGCTGTTGGCAATGGTGAGTTCAGGGCGCTGATCCTCATTTCCCAGGCATCCTTCTCCTCTAACACCACAGTGCCGATGGCTGTGGAGCTGGCAGCTGCTGTCCTCTGCAGACCTACAGTGTGAACGTAGTGTCCGCGTCAGGAGAGCGGCACCTGCTTTGTGGTCTCTAGACAGGAAACCTTTCTGTAAAAGGAATTTTTTGACAGTTCTGAGATGCTAAGTCAATTTCAGTCCTAGACTCTATAGAAAATGGAATCTTTTCCCTTCAATTGATGTGAAAATTGAGGGCTAGTGACTATTCGCTTTCTAATAACGCGGGGTAAATAAATGCTATCACACCACTGAAGGATATGCTAGAGACAGACAGGCTTTGTGGCGTTCACATCCGCGTGGTGCTTTTATCCGTGCCATTGAAGGCCCTTAGCTTTACCATTTAGCGTGATAGATCATGTAGACTTTATTCCCAAATGTGTTTTTTCCAAGCCACAAATTATTACATAGAGTAATTGTTTTGTCCTCTCAGAGTACTTTTAAGGAAGCATCTAGAAGCCCGATGTCCTGCATAACTGAGCAGGCTTTCTTCTGATGTGTGTTTAATAATATCCCCTTTAAAAACCAAAGGTTGAATTTCCCATCATAGTTAAATAGCCCCGAGACTACTCTTCCTTTTGTCTTGCTCTAGGGTCCTGTAACCACCCATGCATTCAGTGGTGGTGAAAATCCTGGAGCTGGCCTGTTCCTTGTTAGCCTGCTCTGGGCTCCAGTGCTAACGGCTCTTTCTCCTTTGCCCTGCATCTTTCTTGCCTCATCACCGACACTGTCCTGTATTCTATACCTGCACTGTCCTGCATTGTCCTGCATTCTGCATCTGCATTGTCCTGCATTCTACACCCTCACCGTCCTGCATTCCACACCCGCATTGTCCTGCATTCCACACCTGCACTGTCCTGCATTGTCCTGCATTCTACACCCTCATGTCCTGCATTCTACACTCTCACCGTCCCGCATTCTACACCCATATTGTCCTGCATTCTGCACCCACGCTGTCCTACATTCTACACCGACACCATTCTGCATGCTACACCTGCACTATTCTGCATTCTGCACCTGCACTGTCCCGCATTCTGCACCCGCACTGTCCCGCATGCTGCACCCATGCTGTCCTGCATTCCACACCTGCACTGTCCTGCATTCTGCACCCACACTGTCCCGCATTCTACCACTCTCGTCCTGGAGAAAAATCCCTTAACTATACCTCCCCATCCAAATCCTTGTTTCTCTTCACAGCAAACCATGCTGTCTCCATTTTTTCCCACACACCTCTCTTAGTCTTATGTAGCCCAGGCTAGACTCCAACTCCCTGTGCAGCTAAGAATGATCTGGGACTTCTGAGCCTCCTGCCTGCACCTCTTGAGTTCTGGGATGGCAGGTGTGAGCCACCACTCCCCCTTTATGTGGTGCTGGGGATGGAGCCCACAGCCTCGAGAATGTCAGTCAAGCATTCTCCCAAATGAGCCACATTCTGTGCCCCTCCCATCCTCCTTTGAACCCTTTCACTATGTCTCTGTCTGACTCTGCTCTGCACAACCCACCAGCAGTCTCCACTCCGCTCTCACTCTTCCCAGCTGTGCTGTCCCAGCTGCTTTCTGTCCACTCTGCTCGCTTTTCTTCCTAGCCCCATGTCATCTAGTCCTGGGCTTCTGCAGGACCCGTCCTTTCTCCCCTTCTCTATACTGTTTTCTTCCTTTCTTTTCTTTTCAGGAGCACAGAGAGGTGGAATTTCTGGAACATAGCCTTCGGGTTCTCAGGCTAGGCAGAAGACTCCCAAGCTTGTACCTCTAACTGGGGCATCGCCTTTGAGTTCTGGTTGGGCGGTGCCCTCTTTGATATTCTTATTTGGTATGGGCTGGTGGCTTCAAGGTCCGCTGTCTGTACCCGAGCCCGTGTCTCCTTTCTCTATTGTGACTCTCTTCTTCACTTGATTGGCTCCAGCACCTTAGACCAGTCCTTGACATCAAACACTTGACTTGTGAATGTGCGGAGGCCCATTTGGTCTGTTCCAGCTCCCCATCTATTGCCCTGGCTATGCAATGCCTGTACTGGTTCCACAGTGGTCACGGAAGGCAGTCTGTTAATGACCAGCATCAGAAATGGAGCCTGGGAGGTGTCTGTGGGACAATCTTTGGAGCTGACTGGAGAGTGGAAGTAGGGGACCTGTGTATTTGTGACCTTTTGGCCCTGCTTGCAGCCAGTGCCCTTCCTGGCTTGTGTAGCAGCTGTCCTGCGTGTTTTTGCACTGGAAGCCAGAGCTGTAGTGTGTCCTCCTCTGCTCAGCACCACCCCCATAGATTTCCACATCACCTAATTCCAAGTGAAAATCTGAGTCACCGTCGCCAGAGGCATTGCCTGTCGTGCCGGGGTCCTTTCTGCCTGCCATCTGTTGCTGGCTTCCTCTTCTCTGACATCACCTAGCCACTAAAACCTTCTCTCTCTCTCTCTCTCTCTCTCTCTCTCTCTCTCTCTCTCTCTCTCTCCTTGAATCTGAAATTTTTGCTTCACAGGGTGGTGGGTCCAAACTGCCAAACTGCAAGCTGCCCTCTGCTCTATGGCACTTCCTGCCACACTTCTTGTTATAATGAGTGTTCTCTCCTTTTCACTGGTTGTTACCCGTCACGATCTACTTCCTCGGGTTCAACCTGACAACGGTGGGAAATGTTAGCCTCTTTGCCCCTGTATCCTGGGCAGGCTGGTGCCCAGTCAGCACCCAGAAGTTCTTAATGGAAGCCAAGTGTGAATAAGCTGTCCCTTGACTTCCATCTCTTCCTAAGGCCTCTTCCACAGCCTCCAGGGCAGCTCCCCCTGGCTCTCTTGGACTGTTGGGAGTGCCGGGCCATAACATCACCTCAGTGGAGCCATGAAACATTGGCCCAGAAGCCAGGATAAACATAGCCCTGGTTCCTGGGCCATTAACTCTAAGTGGACTTTTACACCCTACGCCATAAAGGGTAGCCTTCCGAGCAGGATCGTTACAGAACCATGACCTGGCAGAATGGCAGAGTCGTGGGCATCAGAATCCCAGTGCCCGTCACAGACGAGAGAGGGCTGGCTCTCCCTCCTGCATTCCTGAGCTGGTCCTTGCCCACATAGTAATGGCCTTGAGAGACCCTCCTTTTGGCTGGCTTCCCAGAATTCCCTCTGCCATGTCTCCCTTTCCATGGCTAGTGTTTCCTAGCAACTTCCTAGATACCGCCAACCTGTTCCCTCACCACACGGTAGGTTGGCTTCTTTTAAATGCAGGCAGTGGTAGCAAGCATTGAGCAGAAGTGGCCTGTTTAGTCAGCAGTAGACAGGGCAACAGGAACACTCCTGACTGTCTGAAGGAGCTGTGCGCTTCGCAGCAATGCCTCTGCCCCACTTGAAAAGAGGATGCCATGTCCTTACCTACCTGGCCTTGAGCCGACATCATACAGGGTGTTCTTCTCATGCTCCGTAGGCCTAGCACATGTTTTCTCTGCTGTCGGTAACCCTAATGATATACGTGTTCTCCAGCACAGCAGCCTTTACACAATGTATCTTGGGCATGGTCCTTCCTGTTGGGCTGTTCGCAGCTCCCCAGGTCTGAGGGTTGGATGCTGTAGAGTTGATCAATTCAAGCACGGTGTTAATGCTACATTCGCCATGTGAGGGTCTTTCTAAGACTCAAAGCATCAGAATTCAGAAGATGGGGGTAGGATTCTTCCCTTTAAAAAGCCAAAAACCCTTGCTCAAATTGTATGAGCAGCCCTTGAGGAATATGCCGGCATCAAGTCTGTCTCCCTCTGCATGGCGGTTCACACATGCAGGCATGCGTGCCTCGGCAACAGGGGGTGCTGCGGAGCTGTCTCGGTCTCCCGCAGACCGACCTGGAAGACTCACTGCTGCTGTGTGGACTCAGCTGGGCCCTAGCCCCCTCCTGCAGCCCAGCATCTTCTGGCACTCCTAAATGAGGTGTGGTTTGACAGGGTGATGACAACCACACCTCCTTAGTCTCTCTTCCCATAATATTTATAATACTTATATTGTAATTAACGCTCCCCGCCCCCAGGCGCTCTGTCTCCTTATGGAACAATCTTCAGCTGGAAGAGGAAAGCAAAGGGGACCCCGGGATGTGGCTTAGTGAACCCACGTTTCACATAGCGTAGATTTAGCGCTATGGTACACTTGCAGGGGGCCGAAGGCAGAGGGCTCAGAAGTTCAAAATCACCTTATGCTACATGAACAGCCTCAGAGACCTTATCCCAAAAAAAGAAAGACAATTTCATAGTCTGGGTCTACATAGCAACAGAAGGTTGAGAAGACACTTTCATAGTCTGGGTCTGCATAGCAGCGACAGGTTGAGCCGTGTTGACTGTAGATACCCTTCCTAGCCGTATCCACTCATCATGGTACTGTTTCTTATCATCCTTGCTCGAGGACCCCCATTTCTGGCCTCGTGGAAATGCAGGCCATGACTTCTTTTACGGAAAGAGCGTTCCTCGCACAGCCTGCTGCAGCTGGCATTTAGCCATCAGTCAGCGCTGCATGCTGAAGCTGGTGGACATCTGCTGAGAACATTTCTTTCCCTAACCCGCTTAATCCTCACCATAACCCTGGAAGGTGCTATTTTTAGCTGTGTTTTATGGCCAGAGAGACTAACAACACCCAGGATCAACGAAGTGACCTAACTTACCTGCTCACACCGTGAAGCGAGAGCAATGCCACACTGAAATCCGGCATTCCGCCCTGGAGCTAAGCCAGGTGCCAAGCTGGCCAGCCTTTTTGTCTCCTTTGGGGACCACGCTGCCGGATCTGTGTTTGGGCCCCAACTGTTAGGAGATCCCACCCCAGTGTGACAGTGCTATTGTGTGTGCCGCCAGAAGCACACACCCCTGTTGCTGGCTCTGAGATACAGAAGTTTGTGCCCTTTGGTCCAGACAGTTGAGTTTCCGTTTCTGCCTAATTTCTGTACTGTTCGTTGAGTTTCCGTTTCTGCCTAATTTCTGTACTGTTCTTTTGGTGCCTCCTTGATTCTTTGATTACTCCTAAATTCCTCCTTTCTTCCCCCCTCCATTTCCTTTGTCGCGTTCCCTGGGATAGGGTCCAAGGCTTTCCGCTTGTCAGGCGAGCGCTCCACGGTTTGGCTGCATTTCCCCAGCCCATCCTCCACAGTTAACCTTAAGGGTTCTGTCACCGAATCAAACATCGCCACCTGGACATACCTCCTCTCCTAAGTGACTGTACTTCGTGTGATGATGGCAGAGTCCCTTCGCCAGCACGGAAGGCAAGCCGAGCCAGCTTGCTCCTTTTCTTGCCACTGTTCAAGGTCGTCCCACAGTGCTCTGGCTCCCGTCATGCTTCTGCCTCTGCGTGGTGTTTCCCTTTCTTCCCTGCCTGTACCTCAGACCACACTCCACCTCTGCCCGGTCTTCACTCTGCTATTAAAGCAAGTGTGTGCCGTCATCCCAGCCTCCTCACAACCTGTCTGCACGCCTGCCTCCAGGGCTAATTCTACCCTGGCTGTCTCCGAGTCTGCCCAGCTGGTGCTGACGGTGCAGGAGACCATGGTTCTCCTCTCAGGCTCTGCCCTGAACAAGGTGCTGGGCTCAGCAACTCGTCTTCCGCCTTGGTTCTCTCTGGGATCTTCCATCCTGGCCTTCAGGGTCCAGGACTCTGGGCTCGGTGCTGGAGCACTTTTCCCAGCGCGTGTGAAGTTCTGTCTCCGGCCACTGTCTCTTTATGCCACAACTCTTAGCCATTCCCCACTCTCGCCGCTATGACCCACATCTCAAGGTGAACTTTGAAACCTCAAGAGTTTCACATTATTTATTTATTTTCCTCCAAAGGGAAGGAAAAAGAGGTTTAGGCTCAGTTCTGAGATGGCCTTGCACCTGGTAGGCATGCACTCTGCCACTGGACCACAAAGATGATGTCATCTGTCTCTTTTGGAGGGTGGATTCTGACACAGCTACTTTACAAGCAAACCTGCCATGGGTGCCAAGAGGACTGAGTTCTCCTGCTTGTTTCTTGTTCATGTTTTTTTTGGGGGGGGGGTTGTAAGTTCCAGGCAGGACTCCTGGAACCCAGCTAGCCTCAAACTCTTTACGTAGCCTAGGACTTGAAACATCTGAGCCAGTACCTCCACAGTCCTGGGATTCTGGGTGTGTAGCAGCCAACACTCCTGCTCCTGTTCAGTGCTGAGGATCAGCCCCAGGGCTTTGTTCCTGCTTGGAAAGCCCTTCACCTGCAGAGGCATGTCCCCACCCCTGGACGTTCCCCAGAACATCGCAGCAGCTCCTGGACGTCCCTTAGAGTACAGTGGCGACGTAGAAGTTGTGTATGTGTGTATGCAGGCACACTCAGCTGCCACTGCGTGCTGGCCACACTGGCTAGGCGTGGTTAGGCACCCCCTTCCCAGAGGGTGTGGCTTGCAAATGCGCAGGGACCCCTGAGCAGGAACCCTGGCTAAGCACTGCCTGCCAGCACTCCTGAGGAGTTCCTGCTGAAGATTAACTTTTACTGCTCTTCTGTGATTGGTCAGTCCCTGCTCTAGCTCATTCCCAGTGAAGGAAGTTTGTGAGGCCTGACCCAGCACTGTGAGCAAGTTCCTGCCACAGAATCCCAGTGCCTGAGGCAGGAGGCTGCTGTTAAGGGGAATGCCTTCCATCCCTCTCCATGCCCAAGCTCCTCTCCCTCCGCCCCCTGTCAGCCATACTGTTAGGATGACTTCAAAATTAGCACAGTGCATAGCTGAATCCACATAAAATGTCACTGAAAAATTCTGAGCCTTTTATCATCATCAGGTGGGAAGAGTTTCTCATGGGGAGCAGGTGAATGTGGCTCCCCAAGCCTCGCCCTAACATCCATGATCTTAACTACAACTGCCGTTTTCACATTTTCAGCAGCATTTAGAACAGGGCCAACTCTGTCCTAGGCACAGTCGTAGGCTTCAGGGATCGAGGGCAAGGACTACCAGTCCATGTCAGCCGCTGGCTTCGTGGAGGGGGCTCCACCCCAATGGGGCTGCCTGAAACCATGGCATGGACTCTGTCCCAGGAAGTTAGAGCAGAAGGGTCTAGCCTGGAATAGCAAGTCTGGAATAGCAAGTCTGTCTAATGTCAGAAAATGACGGAAAAACTGAATAAACTGTTTTGCCTCCTTGGGATTCCGGGGTTGTTTATCTCCATCCTTGGTAATGAATACGCTCAACTGTGCCGCCTCTTGTCTGTGTGACACACACAACTGCCAAGGTCTCTCTCCCTGAGCATCATACACAGTCCGCTTTGACGCTCTCTGGTCATGCCGGGTATGCAGCTGTCGGGGAAGGGAGAGTGTTCGGTGGAATCCCACCTTGGTAGTGCGCTCTGCACACCAATCTTGGTAGTGAAGCACAACAGCCCGTCCTTACTGCCACACGTGCTCTGAATCAGAAGCCAGTTCCTGTTTCTGATCGGAGGTTAGGCAGATGCCGGCCACCGACACTGTTTTGTTTGCGAGACGGGATCTCGTGCCGGTCATCCCAGGAGTAGTAGCTGGAATCAGGTTATGGGCTTTGGGTTGTGGGGCACCTGATTTTAGTGAAGTAATTCCCAAAGTACGACTTGTAGAACAGTGAATTAAGGCACATCTTGTCAGTGGTTTGTGTCTTAGGGGAGCTGAGAGAGGAGGTCTCACAAGCTTACTGGGTTTCGTTTTAGCACGTGTTGGGAGCCAGTATCATCCGTCCATAAGCCTTCCCAGAGGTCTTGGATGAGAGTTAGAATTCGCGCCTGCCTCTAAACTTCTTCATGTTTACACACTGAGAAAGGTACCAGGTCAAACAGATAACTTGCTTCATCAAGACACAGCTTTATTTATTCTGTCTCTCCCATCCTCCTCATCTCCTTCCCTTCCTCTCTTGCCCTTTCTACCTGTCTCTTTCCTTCTCTCCCTCTTTTTCTTTGGCAGTGGTTGGGATCAAACCCCAGGCTTTGTACAAGCTAGGCAGGCGTTCTATCAACGGAGCTATATCCCTAGTCCACTTATATGAGTTTATTTGTATGAAACTTTCTTTTATAACGTACGACCATCTACTGTGGTTTCACCTGTGATCTCAATATCTTTTATTCCCAGAGTCCTCTTCTTTTCTTTTCTATAAAGACCTCTGTTATTTAGACTCAAAAAACCACTTTTAGCCATAATTTTTATTGTGAGAGGAAACTTTTATAATTCTTTATTTTAGATCAAATTTTAAGATTGCATTTTTATTTGTGTATGTGGGGTCCCATCCCCGGGAGCTGGAATTGCAGGTGCTTGTGATCTGGGGAGACCTGAACTCGGATCTTCTGGAAGAGTGGCGAGTGGTCCTAGCCAGCGAGCCGTCTCTCCAGCCCCACAGCCCCACTTTCTGTTAGTTCTGTAAGGAGTCATGCCTGTATAAGCAGCATTTCCACCCTGTTTCCATGTAGCACGGGTGATTTGGAAAGGCCTTTCTTCTCTGAGAAGCGTCTCCATCCTTCCAGCGGCATGGGTGATGGACCGCAAATAACTACGGAGAAAGCACAGCAGGATCCTAGAAGGATGGGTGTCTCCCCTCGCCCTCACCACTCAGAGAAGACCCTGACCACAGCAGAAGCAATGAGGAGAAAATAGAAAGCATTTCTGAGTGCTATACTAAAAGCTTTTGTCAGCCAAGGCAGCATGGGCGTTTTAGGGAGAAGTTGGTTCTCCCTAAACTGTGGGTGCCACCTGCAGGCGGTGTGCCCTGGAGATGACATGTGTGCAGAGAGGTTGCAGAGAAGAGCTTTCCCCTTGAGGCAGAGTGGCGTGTGAAACAGCGTGCCTCATCTTCTGTCTTCAGGACAGTATTTCCCTGACTGCGGCCCAGACCCGAATAACCGCTTTGAATAAGCCCGGGTGAGAGGTTGGTTGTCTGGCCCCCTTTTTATGCAATCATTTCCAATACATATTTTATCACACTAATTTTGTTATTGATGTTATTTGATTTTTTTTTAAGACAGCCTCTTATAGTGCAGAGTAGCCTAGGATTTGCTATGTAGCTCATGACGACCTTGAGCTTCTGACGCCCCTGCCTCCACTTCCCAAGTGCTGGGATTACGGGTTTGCACCCGCTATGCAGTGCTGGGCATGAAATGGTCTTTGTGCCTGCTAGGCAAGTTCTCTACCAACTGAGCTGCTTTCCCTGCTCATATCCTGTTGTTTTTAAGTTGTGGAAATATAGATAGAGTACAATGTTTACTAGGTTGACCATTAGGTGTACTGTGTACATCACACACCTTCCATCCCCAGAGTTCCATCTTTGTGCACAACTGACATTCTAAACCTCTTAAACCGTGGCTCCTGCTCTCTCCTCTCCCACCCTCTCTGTGAATCTGACCCTTGATGTCCCTCACAGAAAGGGCATCATCCAGCTTTTCTCTTTCCCCCTGGTTATGTCACGTGGTATGATGCCCCCAGGATCGTATCGATATTTACTGGGTGTCAGACTCTCGCTCCTTTCAAGTCTCAGTATATTCCAGAGCTTGTGTTCACACTCCACTCCGCTGCTCCAGCTGCTGCTGCAGTAAGTGGATGTCTGTCCATATGCTTGTGTCCTCTGTGTCCTGCGTGTCCTCTGTGTCCTCCGTGTCCTGTGTGTCCTCCGTGTCCTCCCACTGTTACAGCTCGAGCCACCTCCTCAGCGTTCTTATCAGGAAGAAGAGGGGAGGGCAGGAAGCTCAGTCAGCCTCCTCAGGCTCTCCATTCGCAATCATTTCTATGAAATGGAAATTAAAAGCAGCCGTGATATAAAGAGTTAATATTTACCGAGTGCTTATTGTGATGGTCGTTTCTTGTAGCCCTGACATTTGCATCTTGGCAGATAAGCAGTTGACCAGCTCCCTGTAGTCACACGACTTCATAGCATAGAGCAAGCGAGGTGGGGAGACCCAGGCCTCTGGCTCCAGAGCTCACATTTCCCTTCGTTTGTATTTTATGCGTGTGCATGTAGCACACGTGTGCATGTGTTTGCTGGCAAGTGTGCACGTTGTGGAGCCCAGAAGCTGACATCAGGTGTTTTCTTCAATGGCTCTCCACTTTCATCTTTTGAGATGGAACATCTTCTGGGTTTAAGTGCACAGATTTAGCTAAGATGTCTGGCCATCAAATCCCAGGGACCCTACTGTCCCCACTTCTCATGTGCCAGGTTTACAGGGTGTGCACTGCAGGTGTAGACATAGGTCTTGGGGATCCAAACTGCTCTTCATGCTTCTGTAACAAGAGATGGCCACTGAGTGATCTCTCCAGCCCCAGAGCCTGTGCTTCTACTGGCTTTTATCTATTCCTTATACTTATTCTCAGGGAATTCTGGGAAATTATTGCTAAAATTCTTTCCTTGGGGAGATATAAATGTCTTCCTCCTTCCTAAGGTCCCTGCAACAGACCAAGGTACAATGCCAGCAGAGTTCACTCTGGAGCACCAATGAGCTTTTGGAGCACTTCCAGAGCATAAATGAGGGGCTACTTACAGGAGTCCCTGCTCCCCAAAGGTTCCTATAGAGCATTTTTACTCT